AAATTGAGTTACACAATTTAATCACATTTCTCTCTAATCAATCAATTAATCAATTAATTATAATTTACCAATTACTAATCACAAATTTTTAAAAATTTTTCTAAATTAAATTTCTAAAAGAATTGGAAATCTCTAAAGCAGATTTGCATGCATTTCCAATTTTTGTTTCCAATTTTTGTTTTGGTCAGCTTGAGAAAATCTGCATGGAGATTTCTAACTCTTGTTTCAGTCAGCCATGCTGACCGAAACATCTTTGCAATTTTAGAACCATCGTCAAATCGGTTCGGATTTTTACTTCGGTCAATATTTATGACCAAAATAATAATATTTTATTTTATTTATTAATATTTAATTCTAAAAAAAGTATAGATATTTTTTTTATTCGGTCAGTTTTCTTGACCGAATAAATGGGTAGGCAACATTCGGTCAAGACACTTGACCGATTTGGTTCGACACCAATTGGCGTCAAATTAATTTGGTCAAGATACTTGACCGAAATAAAATGGGATCGAATTGTATGCTTTTTTCCATTATTTTCGGTCAATTTTAATTTTCGGTTATTAAATTTGTCCGAATTAACTTTTTTTTTTTTTTACTCAAAAAAATTGTTTGACCGAAATATTCTGACCGAAATAGTCAAATTTCTAGTAGTGTGTATCCATGTTCAAAGAAATGAGATATAGCAGTGAAAATATGAGTTCTCACCAGATTCCAATTTCGTTGATAGAAAACACCGGGGAAACCATCCGGCCCTGGTGATTTGAATGCCCCTAGTTGAAAGGTTGCTTGTTCCACCTCCTCCATTGTCACAGTGGCACAAAGTTTAGAATTCATCTCATCTGTAACAGTTGGTTGAATAAGGTTCAAAATATCAGTATAGTTGGAAGTATTGTGCTCAGAATAAAGATTTTGAACAGTGTGAAAAATATGTTGCTCGATGTCAACAGGCTGTTGCAACCATCTTCCTATATCATCTTTTAGCTTTACAATATGATTTCTGGATCTCCTTCATGAGGCAATAGCATGAAAAAAGGAAGAGTTCCTATCCCCAAATTTCAACCAGTTGACACGTGAACGTTGAAACCAGTAAGCCTCATCTTCAGACCATATTTTATCTATATGCTGAATAATTTCTCTCTGTTTTCGCGAATTGTTAGCATCCATGGGCTGCTGTTGAAGCAAAGCAAGTTCATTTAAGAGAAATTGAACATTAGAGGATTTATGACTTCTATGCTGCTTACTCCAATCCTTCAAAGTCTGCTTACAACTTTGTAGCTTCTTAGCCAATTGGAATAAGGAAGATTTTGTGCCATCCTTGGATCAGCCACATACTAGTCCTTAATTATTTGGAGATGACTTTTCAACGTGGCAGTCGGGCACGATGGTTTGAAATAGAGCAATGCTACGGGACCGATCGGTCCTCGAGGCGATAGGTCCTTGTAAGTTGTAACTTCTCTATATATTATTTTTAAAATTTGATATATTTTAATTTTACTTTATGCTTGTAAATAATTTTAAATTGTTAAATATTAAGATTTTGTTCGAAAATGTTATGATGTAACTGTTTTGTAATTTTTTTAATTTTATTATTTAAAAAATATGTTTAATATTTATTTTAACTGATAAAATAATGCTTTTTTATTGACTTTCAAAAAAAATACTCATAAAATTATTTAAATTCATTTTAAGTTAAAAAAAAAAAGACAAATAAACTCGAATTGTTAAAATTAGGAGTAAAATAATAAATTTAACCAAAAAAAGGAGAAAATCTATTGAATGTTCACGTCAGTAGACCTCTGTCCGTCAGCAACACTGTCAGTCCCCTTAGCATTTTCATTTAGAATATGACACTATTTCTAGCCTATTTTATTTTTTGATAA